AAAATCCACGGGCAATTGGCTTCGATCGGAGAGGCGAAGTAGCTAATTGCGCTCTCGGCCAAGTCGCCGGGCAATCACGTAGAAAATCAATCGAGCGGCCGCGAGCAAGTGGAAAAAACAGTCCGTGTCTCGGCGGCGGTTTAACAACCGCGGGGCGACGCTTCGAAACGAGGAAGCGAGATACGATGGGACGCAAGCAAGAAGAGGATCGACCGTTGCGTCGCGCTCGCCCGCCGACGGCAAGGAGAGAGAGAGAGAGAGAGAGAGACTCGATCGACAATCGTCGCGAATATTTCACGCGCCTCTCGCGCGACGAGGCCCCGTCGCTCTGTCCCGCCGCGCGCTGACGTTGGACACTCGCCTTTTATCTCGCGCACCGACTGGTCGTTGGGGCGACCCAGCGAGATCGTCTACGCGCATACATGTCGAACGAGCTGCATCATCGCTTTCCGAGTGGCTCGCTATTTTCCAGCTGGCCGATCATTCGCCTCCGCCTTTCGAATCCGCGGCTAAAAAGCCCTTTTCTTTCTTTCGAGCTCGACAGACAGTCCGCGACGTAACGAGGCAGGTACGACGCTTCTTTTCCTGCCCCCTTCGCCTTGGAATTTCAGGAAAAGTCGGCCTCTTTTGAATCCTCGGCCCGTCCAACCGAGCGCAATTACAGCGCGGAAAAAGGCGAGCGGCTAACGTCATTTATTCTCCTTGGTGCGAGAATCACAGCGCCACTTTTGAAAGCCGATAGCACACTGCGCGAAGCAGAGCGAGCGACAAAAAAAAAAGTTACTCTTACCGTGGCTTTAATAAAGTTGCGCATAATAGCGCGCCAGCGGCGCTCGTTACCGTCTTTCTCGGAACGCTACGCGCGCATCTTCGCGCGATAAATTCGCGGACCGTGCACGCCGTTAACCCACGACCGCGATTGATATATAAAAAAAATTTTTCGCGAATCGGGTTAGCCGGCGAGTTACGTCACACTCGCGCGCCAGACAACATTTTTATTAAAAAAGTTGTGCTCCCTTGTGAGAGAGTGTAGGTGAGACGCGTACGTACGCCTTTTTCTTTTTTTCATGAATGTACGAAATATCGAACGGAATCTCTCTCTTTGATGCTTCGTCGTTTCGGTCAACTCTCTCTCTCTCTCTCTCTGAAAGTTGCGCGCGCGTGGAAAGTTTGAAAATTGCTTTTTCGATGAGAGAAGACGTGTGTGTGTGTATATATATATATAGTGTCAACTAAGCAAGAGAAGCTCGCGGAGTATGGTGGTTTCTCTTAAGTGGCAAGTTTGTCGAGTGCTCGTGATATGAATTTTCGCGGCGCACGAGGCGAGGAAAATCCGCAGACGGGGTAAAAGGTAAAAAAGGGGTCAAGTGGGTTGCAGGCTAGCCTATTTTTTTCCTTTTTAGAATTACGTCGCGCGAGCTGTATCATCGTTTACGTCTCGTTGCGGCGTCCAACGCAATTTCCGAGTATCCGAAAGGTCTCACTTGGAAGATTAATCGGTTTGATATCGTTGATCAAATGGCCGATGATGATGCAACGTAGGACAAATGCGACGCGGTGATAATTTTTCACGAGCGGAGGATCAAGTGCTTCGTTTTAACGTGAAATTCCGATCGATTTTAGCCAAGTTATGACGTTGGATTTTGCAAACGAGGGTGGCAAAAATAAACAAATAAGCATCGTTCAATCCCGATCCACGAGCTATAAAACGGAAAAAAGAAATTGATACGACGAAATAAATAATCCCCGAGGGTCCGCAAAACAAGTTTCCGGTTCGAGCGTTTACCGCACAATAAGAATCCATTGTCGTCGGACACCGTCGGCTCCCGCGCGTCCAAACGAGAAGCGAGTATCGATGTGCGCCCACTTTCATCCCCCAAATGTACAAGCGTCGCGCATTGAAAAATAGATGAGCCGACGGCCTACATTGAAGCTCGCTCGTCGATGACCGCTCATTACCATAGCCGTCTCGTTGTCGTTCGCCTTCCTTGCGAGCAGCAGACCGCAAGAGAGCGGATTCCTTCGCTCGGCAAATTGAAAATATCCCCACCCCGCATTGTTCTCTTTCTCGCGAGAGATGATTGCCTTCTGTTTGGAATCTGCCGAGCGTGGATGTGGATAATCTCGCGTCGCTCACTCGGAGAGTCAACAAATGCCACGACCGAAACGAACGAATTGATTATTCTTCTCGTTTAATTGAAAAGTAAAAGCGACCCTTGCTGTTAGATAAGAGCGCGCGTCGTGTATGCCGTGTCGCTTAATCTCCCATCTCGTTTCACGGAATGAGCAGCCAACAGCTGTCGGTCGGTGATTTTTCGCTTACGAAGAGAAATCTCGCGCGCGAACGTGCCTCAATTAGGGCGCGGCGCGCATTCCTATCGATTTTCTTTCCTCTGCAAACTCGCAAACATCGCGTGCGTTTTTCCTCTAACTTTTAACGGTCGCGTTCGAATCTTCCCCGATCATCCTGGCAAACGGTTGCGCTGAAAAAGAGCTTCGGATCAGCGCACACGCGTGCGCGCATCGTCGCCGAATCTCTCGTGTGATGCGCGAGCTTTTGTCACGCGTGATTTTCCTCGAATTGAAATGGAAATCGTAGACGAGCGGAAGGGGGCTTTTACATACGTGCGCGCGGAGAGGGGACCAGCATATAAGAAAAGTTACATTGAATTTTTCCCTCTTCTTTCGTTTTCGTCGTCGCGTGGTCGCTTACGCGTGGCGCGTTCGCTGGAAGGAAGAAAACAAAGAGTCGCGCGAGATTAAAGGAACTTTCGGGCGTCAGCCGAGACCCGACACTCGGGGGGAAAAAAATCTTATCGGTCGCGGAGCGATAGCGAAATAATCCCGCTGGCGAAATAAATTGGCGACGGGGAGCGGAGTGTATAATAAATAAAGCGCGTAATCCCGAGGATCATTCGAGTTGTCTCTCCGCTCGTTTAACTTCGGCCCCGCGCAGCTACTCCACCTTCCTCGTTACTCGTCGCGCCTTTTATCCTTCGCCTGCGCCGCGCGCCAGCGGAAAATTGGCCGAGAGAGAGAGAGAGAGAGAGAGAGAGCTGTGCGCTTTTCATATCTTCCGCGCCAGAGCTTTTGTTACGCCTACCGACGTCTGACGTCGTTAACAGTCCAATGGACGCCGCGAATGACAACCGAGAGAGCTTTTTCTCGCGCTTCACGCCGACTTGGCTGTTCGCACGGTCGCTCCACCGTGCATTCCTCGAAGTCTTTATGCCATTGACAAACCCGTACGTGATTTCAGGGACAGAAATGTGCGCGCGCGAACTCAACCAATCAATGAAAATGCGAGAACTACGCGAGCGACAACAGCCGCCTGGCAATCGCGATCGGAATAATAAAGCCGCTACGCTCGCGTTGTAATAAAAGCCGAAGTTCGAGTAACGCGCGTCTCTCTAGGCAGGCCTTTGTCGCGCACGCGTGCCCGCCGCGGCGCTCTGCCGTTATTATCGCACGCAAGGTTGAACTGTCAATCGCTCGAAAATTTCGTAGATACAGCTTCTCCTTTGTTTCCCCCCTCGCTCGCGAAAACATGTCGGGGAGGCGGCAAAACAATAAAATTGTCTTGCGGCGCGAGGTGCATTTTTTCTTTTCTAAGATAAGAATAGTAGAAAAAAAGAGACTAAGAAAAAAGGGATGAGAGGAATTTTTTTAGCTCCGAGCTTAAAGCCCGCGAGCCGAGACTTGAGATAAGAAAGAGAAGAGACAACTCGAGATGTAATTTGCTTTTTTCGTTTGTGTACTCTTTAATTTTATATATAGAGAAGAGCTTTTATGCCGGAATCGAGGAGTAGGAAAAATGTGAATATTTTAATCGTCGATTCAAACACAGTGGTGGCAACCAGGTCAATCCGAACGAACGGAAAAAAGTCAAAACGGGCGACGTCTGGGAAGGGGGGAGGGACGAAATCAATAAACTCGCGAGTGCACGTACACAGAAAGTGAATAGTCCTCCTTTTTAAGCTAAGAATTACCAACAGTATCGAGCTCGGCGCCCGGGAGTGATGAAGCTCGTCTAAACCAGAACAGACCGAATACAATGCCCACCATCGTCAATCACTGCGACGAACGAAAATGCAAAAGCATACACAAGCAGGCCAAATGCGACAGCAGCAGCAGCAGCAGCAGCAAAGAGCACCGGTGCGCCGTTGGAACAGTTTCCACGGTGGCGCCGGTAATTACGTGGTGCAATCGTCGTTGCCCGGTCTCGTGTACCAGGAGGCTTACCTGGGGTCGAGAGCGCCGCGACTGCCACGCGCCGTGCAAGCGCTGAGGAGCGAGAGCGTGGACAGGTCGCATCCGCCGAGAGTGCAACCTCCACCGCCACCCGCCTTCCCTCGCAGGCGATTTTCCGTTTGGTAAGCTTGCCGTTTCCAAGAGATACTTGGCCGTAGTTCGCCCACAGCTATTTTCTTATTCTTTCTTGCATATACGGCTACCCCTTGCTTTTGCATTGCCGAGCCAATAATGAAAAGGACACGCGCTCCTAAGTGGATGAGAATCCCACTCGCGTGCGTCACGCGTGCAAGCGTGGCATCCTTCCGGACGTGCACGCGCGTGCCACCTGGATAGTCGGAAAAATAATGAAACTGGAGAAAAGGGGAAGTGAGCAGAACACGACCCTACCGCCCTGCCCCCTTATCCGCAGCTTTTTTTTCTCTAATCTAAACGTGCCACTCAGCGCTGTGCGCCAGAAACTGCTCTCTCGGGCAATAAGCCGAGGGAAAGAGCAGCGATCTCGCTGCGAAAGAAAGGGAAAAAAAGAAAAGTAAACGGTTCCTGTCCGCACACTTGTCGCCGCGTGTATATCTGATTGAAAGTTCCCCGAGACATTGCGAAAGACGAGAAACCGCTCGACGCAACGCCCGTCTTTTTAATGATAATAAGAGTAATACATATGTATACGTGTAACACGAATTTCAAATGTTGCGTCTGTTGGCGCTGTCGTGTGGCAGGCACTGACGACGTTTGTTTACTGTCCGCAGCTTCGGCAAGAGGACCGGCGGGAGCGCGAGGAGGCCGAACGAGTGCTTCGTGCTGGAGCCCTCGGAGATGATAGCCGTAAGTATATATATGGTGCAAGCTTTTCCGCAAGCCTCGATTGCTCGCCGAGGAGGCGCCCTCGCATCCTGCGCGCGGGGGCGGGTGCGGGGAAGGAATCCCCCGTCAATTAACCCGCATAGACCGGCTCCTGCACACTGCCCCCCGTCCCTCCTCCTCGTCCCTTCGCCCGTGTGACCTGCGTGACGGTTAATCGATAGCCCGATCCCCGCTGTGTGTGTGTGTGTGCGCGCCTCCTGCCGCCGTACTCGTCCGTGCGATATTTCTCGCCTTCCGCTTCCCTCGCGCGCGCGCGCGAGAGAGAGAGAGAGAGAGAGAGAGAGAACGGCCGCGCGTATGCGTCTACGCGAGACATTGTGCGTGCGTGCGCGCACTCGACGATCGATCGCCTTTCGTTCTCTTCCAGGCAGCGAAAGGACATTTTCGCCGAGTTTGGTAGCTGCTGGCCTCTGGCGGGCGCAACCTCAGGTGGCCAGTACGAGCCAGATAGAGAGAGAGCGAAAGAGAGGAGTGCGAAAGTTTCACGTGCACACTGCGCGCCCGAGCGTCTATCCTCGCTACGTACATACGCTTACACCGAACTGCGCGCCCCGCGTGTCCGCGCTTTCTTCGCGCGGACGAATAATCTCTTTTTCTTTTCGTTTGGCGGAAATCTAATTCCGCCTGTGATCCAGTTTGGAAATGACTCTTCGGATTTCCGATAGGACGCGAGAGCTATCCACGCGAGCGCGCCCCGCTTTTTCGCGAAAGTCTCTCTCTCTCTCTCTCTCTCTCTCTCTCTCTCTCTCTCTCTCTCTCTCTCTCTGTGTGTGTGTGTGTGTGTGTGTGTGTGTGTGTGTGTGTGTGTGTGTGTGTGTGTGTGTGTGTGTGTGTGTGTGTGTGTGTGTGTGTGTGTCTTGTCGCACAGTTGACCGCGCGGCCACCGGATTCGAGTGCGTCTCCTGGCTTTCTTTTCCGTTTTAGATCGAATCCCCGACGGCGTAGTAGCTGGCGTGCTGCATCGATTTCGCTCCGTCCTGATTTTCCCCTGAAGAGCAGGAAGTAGCTCCTTCGCTACTATTGTGATGAGTTTGCTAGGCTTCTACTCCTGTTTTCGCTTTCTTCTTCATGAGAGAATCGAGCTGTGCTTGAAAAGATGAGATTGGATGTTTTTTTTTGGGAGATTGTGTCGGTTCGAAGGAACAGCGTAAACTTTCGAACTCTTTCCAATTGGTTGGACATTTCCTTCGTACGTATTTGCTTTGGAAAAAATTGCCAAATCTCATAACTGATTTGTTCCATAGTTCTACGACAGCGAAAGAGAGAGAGAGAGAGAGAGAGAGAGAGAGAGAGAGAGAGAGAGAGAGAGAGAGAGAAAGGGATTTTGAAATCGAGCAAAGAGAAAAAGGTAAACAACTCAATCCGAACCTGCCGGCTGGTTCAATCGGCAATGTTCACGCGACCGTCAAATCCATCTGTTTCTCCTCTAGCGTGCGCGACACGTGAATGGCGTGAAGAAACAACGAAGTAGACCCTTGAAAATGCGTGTAACGCGATTACGCACGCGTTCACGTGAGCCTCGCTTGTTAAGTGCGAATTAACAAAGGCGCGCGCGTCACATTGTCCGCTAATGAGCACGATTATGCGCTCGATGTTGATATAACGCGCACGTGCGCGACGTTTCGTAGAAGATTCTCCTTTTCCCTTGCAGTCAACTGCCCTCTGTGCCGAATTCAAAGCGAAGCTTGCGTTTGCTTCCTACGGAAGGGCACCGCTACGACGACGGCCGACGCAAAATAGAAACATTGCGCCTTGACTTTGCAAACGGTCGTCGGAAGCGCGTACACCCCGAGCGGTGACAAAATGCAGGACAAAGCGATAAAAAGACAACGAGAAAAAGTAACTCCTTTATTGCCGTGCGCACAATCGCGAAAAAAGAAACTGTGCAGGCACGCGTCAAGCGGTTGTATTGCCCAAATGCCAATCCTATTTCGCGGAAACGCAATTAGAATCGCTCGCGCTCGCTCGTCGCGTTGCCACACAAAAGTAAGCGAAATATAAATTTGCTACCTTTCGGAAATTACATTTTTCGTCGTTACAGCTCGACGAGAGAAAGAGAGAGAACGTTTCGCGCCGCGCGCCGTGACCTAGAAAAGTGTCTAACCGTTACAAATGCACTCTCGCTCGCGAGAGAGCCTATCTCTAGTTCGTACGAGCGGCCGCGCGAGGATTAACTGGCCAGGCCTCGGTGCGTGCGTTTTTCAATTCACCGCGGATGAATCGCTTTGACTCCGCGCGACGTATATATCCGCGATTTCGAAATAACGCAGTGCAGTTTGCGATTCCGATGAAAAAGATACACATCGCGCGTCTCGAACCGCCAACCTCTCGATCCCCGCCCCTTTCAGCGACTCACTTCTCAATCTGCTACTCGAAAAAGAATATAACGTAAAAATGGAAATTTCAGTCCCCGAAATAAAGTTTAGGTGACGACGACGCCTACTCGACGATCTTTTTTTTCATTCGGTGTAAAATATTCGTCTCTTGAGATCGACTCACGTGTTCTTTGCGATGCCTTCAGGGATCTTTGTTCTCTTTTCTTTTGTACTAATATTTTGCTCGCGGATACCCTACATGCTATTTTTTGTTTGTTAATTTTGAAGAAGGCATATTGCTGGTTTTAGTTGTTTTTCTTTCCACGCTTTATTACGCGGATTTCATTTATATAAGTCATTGTGACATTTTTTTAAGACGATTGCCCTGGAGACACTTTCATTGAGTCCGTAAAAAAAAAATCATTTTTTTTATCATTTCAACGAGCGTAATTGATCTTATGTAACTTTCGCAATCAACATCGATTTCCTTATTCAATAATAATAAACATACTCTGCCACTTCTTTCCATAATTTGTCAAAATTTATCGACCGTTCGAATCCACTAAAAACAAATCCATCAGATCACCAAACAAAAATCTCGGTAGCTCTGAGTCTGGGTCAGTCATTGACAAAACAATCCCGTGCAGCAGCTTTCTTCATAACCCCCACGCAGTAGATTCTATAAATATCAACCTACTCATTCATAAAAACGTAACGCAGCATTAATTCCCTCCGCAAACGAGCGAGCAAAGGCAAATTGGGAATACATGTGAATCATCTATGAGAAGTCAAGCCGCCGCAGCCAGATAAGGGCAGGTCTTGTCATCGCTGGCGTCTCTCTTTTCGGGGTCACGATGATAATCGTCCGTGTAAATAAATCTTCGTCAATAGTGCTAATTTGGCATATTACAATTTTGTGACCTGCATCATGGTTGATGCATGGATTTTTCTTGTATAGTGAGCTTTCGGACGGAATTTACATAAGACATTTCGTTTGATAAACCGTTATTATAGCGTCGCATCTGATTCGTTTTCAATACCTCGAGAAATCTTTAATACTATCATGATCTCTTAATAATTCGCTTGCATCGGTTACGTGTACTATTTTACATTTTACATTCTGAGTAACTGCTTGTGGTCGATAAAGTAGGCAAAGTTTCGAGCAAAGAGGCAAAGGCATCTTTTATAAGCAACAACGGAGCTCTGCCTTATCGACGAAAGCTACTTCCTCACTTACGAACGATGCATCCTCTCCTTTAAAGCATTTTTCAAGGAAAAAATTATCGCTTGTACATCTGTTAACTATCGCCCAATGCATGAAATATATCAATCGTGAAATTATTTTATCGTAAAGCTTCATTAAAATTTATTCTCTCGTCGCGACACTACTTGTCGACGCGAACAACGTTTCATTCACACAAACCTGGAGGAAAAATTCATCAACGAACATCCTCTTCCCCTTTGTATTTTGAAACTCTAAAAAAACCTAGCTCGTTTAAGTTTCATGAATGAACAGCTTCCTATGAGCATTTATCAGGTCACCGGACGACCGTCTCTCTCTCTCTCTCTCTCTCTCTCTCTCTCTCTCTCTCTCTCTCTCTCTCTCTCTCTCTCTCTCTCTCTCTCTCTCTCTCTCTCTCCTCTCCCTCCCTCCCCACGTAGGCACGATAATGAAAACAAGGTCTTTCTACTTATTTTCTTTCTGCGTCGTTCAATCGAAAAACCTCATTTTACTCGACCTGCGGTTGCTTGTCATTCGATAGCTGATACATCAATACGTAATGTATACGTTACGAAACTAACGCATCCCGTTGTTCCCGGTGATTCGTCTAACCCTTCGTTGTTACATCGTTTGTGCTAGGCTGACTCTAAAACTTTTCAAAGGCCCTGGACCGCCTGTGTGGAGGCCTATTGAACGGATTTGGATTTTAAAAAAAACAATCTTTCTAGTTATATCTTCGCGCTCCACGATTAATTTAGTAGGCACAAATACTGTTAAAGACATTGCATTGGTCATAGCTGTTTTCATGTACAAAAATTATAAAATATACATTCTTCAGAGCATTGACTTTTAAGTGGCGGAAATTAATTACATCAGTTGGATGTGATCGTAAGGATTTGAAAGATCTTTCAGTAGTATACTCGAAGCGATGGGTCGTCTGCTTTGAATAAAGCTTTATCCTAAAATACGCGATGCTCTCATTGGTATAGAAACTAATACTACGCAAGCAAATGCAACTTGTTATGAAGCAAACTTCCTTGCCATGCATATGCAAAAATTTGAAAGTATTTTTTTAACTATTGTTTGATATATTTTAGAGCGCATTAATAACTGCCATAAAAGTATCCAAGAAGAACATACAGATCTGAATATATTAATAAAATTATTAAAATTATTATATATTACTTATCCATTATCAGAGTACGTTATAGTTAGGGTCGAGCTGTGCAAGAAGTAATTTAATTTTTGAAAACCAATTGCATTTTTAAAATATTAAATATATGTATAGTTATTTGTCAAGACTTATACCTAGGGCGTGAAGGCCCTAGGTATAGGCCCGGTGAGTCCCCGTCTTTAAAGATGACCTAGGTTCGCATTTTTTCCAGACAAATAAAACCACAAATTTTCATCGAAAAAAAAAAACA